CTAAATACCTTTTGCTAACATAAAAACATTATGCTCTCACCAACATGAAAGCACTGTGATGACCTTTCCCCGAGCTGGCTTCTAGGCTTGGGTAACCACGGAAAAAATTGGTTCTAAACCCGTTTTGTTTTTAGGGGGCCCTTGCGTTTTGTTTTTTTTTAAGAATTCCGAAATTTTCCTTTTAAAAATTTCAAAATATACGAAATTTCGTAAAATTACGAATCAATTCGTTAATGGCAGACGCGATTGCGCAATATGCTAAAAAAACTATATGCTATAGTTCGAAATATACAAAATTTCGTAAAATTACGAATCAATTACGAATCTATTCGTTAATGGCGGACGCAATTGTGCAATATGCTAAAAAACCCTCCGAATGGGACAGGGGGAACTTCTGAAGCTTCCCTCTCCCTCTGTTGTTGACTGTTGGTGTGATAAAACAAACAACAACTATAAAACTTGCACCAGACATACGAAAATAATTACAAAATAATTACGAAATAATTACGAAATAATTACGAAATAAATTGGAAACATTGTTTCGATTCTTAATTACTCCTCACACTATTCCTGCATGGCTCAATATTGGATCGTAAGCTAATTTAAATACGAATTAATAACGAATAACGAAATTAACGAACTGGATCGCTCAAGCCTACTGGCTTCTTGTCTGCTGGCTAGGCGAGAACTCCTCCTGACCCGCAATGTGATTCTAGGCCGCCCCAAGAGGATGTTACGGTGAGTTGTAAAAGGATCAGCACCAAGTATATGTATGTGTTAAAGAAAGCTTTATACTGTTAATTATCATGTGCAGCTGCTAATGTAGGTCAGCAAGTAGGGTTGAGCCACACCCAGTGGGGTATAATTGTATGTGGCTTAGAATAATTTGGGTGATCCCTCGTAGTCTGAGGATGATGGTCCTCCTGGCAGTCGGTCCGTAGGTGACTGTGGAGTCCAATTGTTCTCCCACAGTGAGGGCATCCGCTTCCAGGTGGAAGGCGGTCCCAGTCAGGGTTGGCTTGACATGCCTTCCTCTTGGCACATTTATCTCTTTTGCCCTCCATTCGTGCCTCTTCAAATTCTACAGCGCTGCTGGTCACAGCTGACCTCCAGTGTTGCAATCCAGAGCAGGGAACGAGGCCCTAAGATAACTATCCACCACACTTGACTGTGAAAAACAATCCTTTTTTATTGAAGAAAAAATGGTTACAGTTTAAAGGAAAAATGCAAGTCAAAAGCCATAGCAAAATCAGCAAACATGAATTTAAATGCACAAGAACAAAACCCAAAGCCACACTGCAAAATACTGGAACCTGTTTAGTGATTCACTAACCATACTTGATATCCTAGAAATCTTCCCAAGCTATGGCCAGGGAACCGGGAGAGCTGCCAAGGTCTTCATTAATTCTGAAACGATGCCTGAACTGAGACAGTCAGCCCGGCGGAAGGCAATTAAAACCCAAGAATTGATTCCGTGAACCGCCCCTCTTCTTTGAAGCCAATGTTTTTAATTCTTGAATTCAGGAGGATCGACGCAAGCTGAGTGATTTATTTCTATCTTGCCAAATTTGGCCCCTTCTGTTGTCATTACAGTTACCAGGTGCAGAAGGGAGGGAAAGGTCATGGCTTCCCTCTGAAACATTCTCATGAACACTGGTACTTTCATTTTCCAAATCTACAGAAGTTCCTTCCTCACTAATTTCAGGAACATTGGCATTTTCCAAACCTACAGCAGTTTCTTCCTCACTAATTTCAGGAGCATTGGCATCAAGAGGTACATTTCCATTAGCATCAGTAAATATATTTTCATTAGCATCAGGAGGAACAAACAGAGAATCAGGTTCAAGTTCAAACTCAGGCTGAACCCCAACATCCAGCTAGAGTGCTCGAGGGCCAGGGCTTCCTAGTTCTCAGTGTCTATGCCACAGTTTTTAAGGTTGGCTTTGAGCCATCTTTAAATCTCTTTTCCTGTCCTCCAACGTTCTGTTTTCCATTCTTGAGTTCAGAGTAGAGCAACTGCTTTGGGAGACGGTGGTCAGGCATCCGGACAATGTGGCTGGTCCAGCAGAGTTGATGGCAGAGGACCATCGCTTCAATGCTGGTGGTCTTTGATTCTTCCAGCACACTGACATTTGTTCACTTGTCTTCCCAAGAGATTTGCAGGATTTTCCAGACGCAGCGCTGATGGAATCGTTCCAGGAGTTGCATGTGACGTCTGTAGACAGTCAACGTTTCGCAGGCATAGAGCAGGGTTGGGAGGGCAATGGCTTCATAGACAAGCACCTTGGTTTCCCTACGGATGTCCCAGTCCTCAAACATTCTCTGCTTCTTTCGGAAAAATGCTGCACTCGCAGAGCTCAGGCGGTGTTGAATGTTGACTTTTGTGGAGAGGTGGCTGCCAAGGTAGCAGAAATGGTCCACATTTTCTAACATTACACCATTAAGTTGTATTTCTGGCACTGGAGAAGGATTGGCTGGTGACTGCGGGAAGAGCACTTTGGTTTTCTCGATGTTTAATGACAGGCCGAGCTTCTCATACACTTCTTCGAGTTCAGTAAAATAAAGTGCGTCTTGGACATCTCCCCTTTGTCCTTTGGAAACTGGTTCCAGCTCCCTTCCTTTCCACATCAGCCTCAGTGTCTTTAATTACTTGATTGGTGGAACTACATACCAGGAAAAAGACATTCCCAAGACATGTGCTTGGTAGCATGAATAACGGAAGGGTTAAGATCACTCAGTGCATAGAGAGGCCAGGCCAGAATGACACATCTGGTCAAGTCAGACAGATGCAATGTCTGGGGTGTCAGTACAGAGATAAGCGCCAACCATGTGTTTGATCATCCTTTTCCACCATGACTGAGTGTGAGTAGCTGTACATTACTTTACTTACTTAGGCGATCCCTCGTTTTCCGAGGATGATTGTCTTCCAACATTCTTGTGGGTCCGTATGTGGCTGTGGAGCCCTATTCTTGCTCTGCATCTTCTCCTTTCCGCAGTGAGGGCATTGGTTTCCAGGTGGAAGGCGGTCTCGGTCGGAGTTGGCTTGACGCGCCTTCCTCTTGGCACGCTTCTCCTTTTCGCCCTCCATTCGTGCCTCCTCAAATTCTGCAGCACTGCTGGTCACAGCTGACCTCCAGCTGGAGCGGTCAAAGGCCAGGGCTTCCCAATTCTCAGTGTCTATGCCAGAGTTTTTAAGGTTGGCTTTGAGCCCATCTCTAAATCTCTTTTCCTGCCCACCAACATTCCGTTTTCCATTCTTGAGTTCAGAGTAGAACAACTGCTTTGGGAGACGGTGATCGGGCATCCGGATAACGTGGCCGGTCCAGCGGAGTTGGTGGCAGAGGACCATTGCTTCAATGCTGGTGGTCTTTGCTTCTTCCAGCACGCTGACGTTTGTCCCCCTGTCTTCCCAAGAGATTTGCAGGATTTTCCGGAGGCAGCACTGATGGAATCGTTCCACGGGTTGCATGTGACGTCTGTAGACAGTCCACGTCTCACAGGCATAAAGCAGGGTTGGGAGGACAATAGCTTTATAGACAAGCACCTTGGTATTCCTACGGATGTCCCGGTCCTCAAACACTCTCTGCTTCATTCAGAAAAATGCTGCGCTCGCAGAGCTCAGGCGGTGTTGTGTTTCGGTGCAATGTTGACTTTGGTGGAGAGGTGGCTGCCAAGGTAGCAGAAATGATCAACATTTTCTAATGTTACACCATTAAGCTGTATCTCTGGCATTGGAGAGGGATTGGCTGGTGACTGCTGGAAGAGCACTTTGTTTTTCTCGATGCTTAATGACAGGCTGAGCTTCTTTTATGCTTCTGCAAAGATGTTTAGAGTGGCTTGTAGGTCTTCTTCTGAATGTGCACAGATGATGTCATCAGCATACTGGAGTTCTATAACAGATGTTGTTGTAACCTTGGTTTTGGCTTAGAATACAGTTCAGCTCTATGCTCAAAAGCCTTTACTCTGAGGAGTCTTTAGGCTCACAGCATTTTGCTCAACCATTTGCTCTGCTCATTTGAAGGGAAATGAAGAAGCCACGCTCTTTGCATTCTGTATTTCTTACAAGGACTATGTAAGTTTGTTGCACTGTTTTATTTTGTATGCAACACTGCAAGTGTATTTTTTGGACTCTAGGAAAATGGGTTTATATATCTGTGGAATGACCAGGGTGGGGCAAAAACTCTTGTCTGTTGGAGCTAGGTGTGAATGTTTCAACTGACATTCAAATGAACAAAATCTGGCTACCAGTATTAAAAAAACTCAAAAATTACAACAGCAGAACAGCAGAGGGGAAACAATCAGGCACATCTAATCACCTCTCAACAAAAGATTCCCCCAGGCACAGCCAGGCCATCAAATGCCAATCAAGGTGGTCAGTTGAAACGTTCACACCTAGCTCCAGCAGACAAGAGTTCTTTGTCTCACCCTGGTCATTCCACAGATATATAAGCCCAGTTTCCTAGTTCCAACAGACCTCACTACCTCTGAGGATGCTTGCCAAAGATGCAGGCGAAACGTCAGGAGAAAATGCCTCTAGAACATGGCCATATAGCCCAAAAAAACCTACAGCAACCTAGTGATTCCAGCCATGAAAGTCTTCAACAATACAGGGTTAAGATCAGTCTGTGCATAGAGAGGCCAGACCAGAAAAGCACATCCGGTCAAGTCAGACAGATGCAATGTCTGGGGTGTCAACAGAGAGATAAGCGCCAACCATGTGTTTGATCCTTCTCTTCCACCTTGACTGAGTGTGGGTGGCTGTAAATAAGTTGTGACAATAACAAACAGTGACTTGCCAAGGTCTCTTGGCTGAAAGACAACAATCCAGTGTGCTTGATTTGAAGAGCACAGAGGCAGGCAGGGGAAGAGCAGAGGGGTGCCGTGGAAGTGTGCATGTTGCAGGTATCACTCGTGTCTGTGATTGCAAATCCAGGGGCATCCTAAGTGCCTGTTTTTCTGGGGACCTCTGACAGTTTTGGGGGGAGAAGGGTTTTCACCACCTTCGGTCCAGGGACAAAGGGCTCCGTGTCCCTGAGGATGAGGGCGCTCTGGAGGGTGCTTCGGTTGGCATCACCTAATGCAAGGCTGTCATGATGGATCCAGATCCATGGCATTCCTAGGAAAGAAGAAAGTGGTTAACCCAAAATCCGGGCCAGGAAAGCTGCTCTTGACTCCAAGGGTGGATCTGCACTGCAGAATGAATGTAGTTTAGCACCACTTTAACTGCCATGATGGAGCCCCCGGTGGCTCAGTGGGTTAAACCCCTGTGCTGACAGGACTGAAGACCGACAGGTCCTAGGTTCGAATCTGGGGAGAGCACGGATGAGCTCCCTCTATCAGCTCCAGCTCCTCATGCGGGGACATGAGAGAATCCTCCCACAAGGATGATAAAACATCAAAAACATCTGGGCACCCCCTGGGAAACGTCCTTGCAGACGACCAATTCTCTCACACCAGAAGCGACTTGCAGTTTCTCAAGTCACTCCTGACACGACTAAAAAAAAAACTGCCATGACTCAATGCTATGAAATCGTGGGAGTTGTAGTCTAGCAAGGCTCCAGTGCTCTTTGGCAGAGAAGGCTAAATACCTTGCAAAACTACCACTGCCTGGATTCCATAGCATTGAGCCATGGCAGCTCAAGTGGTGTCAAATTGCATCCATTCTGTAGTGTAGACGCATGCCATTATTGAACTATATACAGAATGTATATTTTTGAAATTAGTAGTAGAATTGTTATCTGATATACATTTGTTTCTTGCATATAGCACTTCCCAATTTCCATTGGCAGCTAAGAAAAAAACATGCTTATCTTTACAAATAAAGTGAAATAAAAGATAATTTGTTGAAGGCTATATGGAAACTACTGATCAGCCCTAAATCTGCATGAGCTGATTTAAACCACACTTAGATTAGGTGAGATTTTGGATAAACAAATTGAAGAGCATCTATATATATATATAAAAATGCTCTGTGCATAATGAGTACCTTAAGAGCAAAAGAACCAATGAATGAAATCACACCAAATTTGGCAACAAAACGTCTCACAACACAAGGAGTGACCATCACTCAAAAATTATGATTTTGTCATTTGGGAGTTGTAGTTGCTGGGATTTATAGTTCAACTATAATCAAAGAGCGTTCTGAACTCCACCAACGATGGAATTGAACCAAACTTGGCACACAGGACTCCCCTGACCAAGAGAAAACACTTGAAGGGTTTGGTGGACATTGACCTTGAGTTTTGGAGTTGTAGTTCACCTACATCTAGAGAGCGCTGTGGACTCGAACAATGATGGATCTGGACCAAACTTGGCACGAATACTCAATATGCCCAAATAAAGGGTTTGGTGGACATTGACCTTGAGTTTTGGAGTTGTAGTTCACCTACATCTAGAGAGCGCTGTGGACTCAAACAATGATGGATCTGGACCAAACTTGGCACGAATACTCAATATGCCCAAATGTGAACACTGATGGGGTTTGGGGAAAATATGTGAGTTGCAGTTACTAGGATGTATAGTTCACCTACAATCATGGAGCATTCTGAACCCCACCAATGATGGAATTGGGCCAAACATCCCACAAAGAACCCCCATGACATATATGTATATGACAGATGCAGTATCAAAGATGTGAAAGGGACCCCTTATATGTTGCATGTTCCAGAGTGGGCAAACCAGACACTCTCCACATCAACACTGGCAAAGAAACAGCAAGAAATACTGTTTACCCACAAGCAGAAAGAAATTACATATATTAGAAAGTGAGCCTGGAGCCCCAGGTTTCGGCGGTGACCAGGGGAGCATTTGCACAGCTTAGGCTCGTGCGCCAGCTGCGCCCGTATCTTGGGAAGTCTGACTTGGCCACGGTGGTACACGCTTTGGTCACATCCCGCCTCGACTACTGCAACGCTCTCTACGTGGGGCTGCCCTTGAAGACGGCCCGGAAGCTTCAGCTAGTCCAACGCGCGGCAGCCATGTTGTTAACAGGAGCAGGGCGCAGAGAGCATACAACGCCCCTGCTGTCCCAGCTCCACTGGCTGCCGATTTGCTACCGGGCCCAATTTAAGGTGCTGGTGTTAGCCTACAAAGCCCTAAACGGTTCCGGCCCAAAATACCTTGCAGACCGCATCTCGGCCTACGAGCCCACGAGGGCCTTGAGATCATCCGGGGAGGCTCTTCTCTCGGTCCCGCCTGCCTCGCAGGCACGTCTGGCGGGGACGAGAGAGAGG